GTTTTTGTAGTTACTCAGTAGCATTTATTCTATATCTGATATTTGTATATCATTTTCCTTGATACTGTGGGAGAAATAAATCGAGGACAGGAATTAGTTGATCTGAATTTACATTCTAAGAGCAGAAATACTATACTCTTTTGTATATGTGGACATTTACAAATGCTGTGTTTATCTTAACACTGTTGGAGAATAAACTCTTTTTTAAAGTATTTTTTTAAAGAGAAATAGAGAGTGAGCTGGGGAGGGGAGGGAGGGAGACAGAGAGTCCCAAGCAGGCTTCACACTGTCAGTGCAGAGCCCAGTGCTGGACTCTAACTCATGAACTGTGAGATCATGACCTGAGCTGAAACCAAGAGTTGGGACACTTAACTGACTGAGCCACCCAAGTACCCTTAAACTCTTTTCTAATAGTAAGTAACCAAACTTACTCCTTTAAATGTCAGGGGGAATAAAGGAACCATTTTATTTTACAAGAGACTCTTTTCTGACATTTAAAATAGTGAATGTAATCAGAAAAAAAATTGTTTTTTAAGGACTCAGGACTATCATTTTATTTGTGTACTTTTGGTCTTCTGACCTCTATAGATTTATCATAACGCTTTTGATTTATCAGCAGTTTTGTTTTTCTTTTTCCCCTCATGTTTATGGATGGGAGAAATAGATATGTTGGAAGAGACCCTGGCCTACTGGTCTCCGCCTGGCCCACAGGAATGTTTTGGAGGTCTCCCAGAGCAGGAGGGCCAGTGTGAGGGTTGGTAAGGGGAGAGAATGAATGCAAAGCTTTTGCCTTGGTGGTTGGAGAATCTTTTCCTGATTGTTTCCTGGTTATTGTTAGATGTGAATCTCAGTGGAGCAGCCTGATAAAGACAAGCGACCCTGGGTACCTGGGGACCACCAGTGGCCCCTTAACCTGTCGAAATAAAAGTGGACCATTCGGTGGAGGAGAGGTTGTGTTCTTTCTTTTTCTGTCAGTGAACTAGACTTTGGAGATTACTATGAAATTATACTGGATAAAAAATTGGACAGGTGTCACTTGAAAATACCAGTACCAGTGGAACAGTAAGTGACAGGCTAGAGTTTAAGCTTACTTGCCCTTTTCAAACTGGGAATGTCATGTACTTGGTATACAGAAAGAATATTTTGGAACACAGTGTGTCATACCTCTGTGATTCTTTACATGAAAAGCAAGACATGACATGAGAATCTTTTGAAGCTGATAAAGAAAATATGTTCCATATGAACAAAGATACTTTGGTGCAGGGCAAGGTGATGATCCCCAGATCTTGCCATATTAACTGCCTCTAGGTGGGCTTTGAGGAACCACAACCATTGACATTGATGTTGGACCTTTTCAAGATAGTGTCTACCTCTTTCACAGAGTCTTCTGCAGGGTGAGAACATTCTTCTAGTTCCAGATATGGGGGTGCAAGTATTCTCTGTGAAAGGATATAGTCCCAGCAAGTGATGAGATCTCTAGGCTTGCTTCCAAATCATGAAGGCAGAGAGGGAACACCATTTTCTTTGTTAGAAACCCAGGATCAAGAGGATTTAGGGTTCATTAAAAAAAAAGGAAAAAAATGAAAGGAGATGGGGAGGCTAATCTGAACTTTCATGTGTTGGTTGCATACCAGTGTAGAAACACTCAAAGATTATGCAAGGATATCAGAGCTGCAGCCATGAAGCCAGACATGGAGATGCTCACGTGCATCATCTGTCAGGAGTTGCTGCATAACTATGTGAGATTGCAGGCCTGGAGTGCTTTTATTATCTGATGATACAATCCTTGAAAACACCATATTGTCTTACTATTGGCCTGGGAAGTTTCCACAAGTTGACATATCAATATTGTCAGAACAGTCCTGCTTCCCAGTTGCCAGTGGCTATACCATCTTATCCTGATTTCTGTTGGGGCCACAACTGCTGTACTCATTCAGTACAATTTCATGTGGTGAAATTTAGTCATATTGGCAAACAGATGATGTTCAAGAACTAAGTGTAAGGGATGGAACCAAGATGGGCTTTGGAATAATGGAGGTCATTGACAGGGTGTTTCAAAAACTATCCAGTCTTAGGATCATTTTTATAGTGCCTATCTCAAGGAAAACTGGGGATCTCTACATTAGGAACCCTAGTGCAAATTTTTTTTGGTGGAGCTTTTCCGCTGATTGAGACTTCCTAGTGACCACATCTTCCTATTGTGTAAGTTGAATTATTACTACATCTAGCCTAAGGCTTGAAAGGGTATGTTCTTGACCCCAGCTGTGGAACAGGTGCACAGGGGGCTAGGAGGTTGTGGGCATCGGGCATCCCCTTTTTTGGTTAGTTGGGTCTTGGCCTGATGCATCAGCATAACTGAGAGCTCTTAACCTTTCTTTTCCTCAGCTACAAGTCACAACTATTGTGCTTCTCATTTTATTTTATTCTTTCCCTGCTTTCCTGTGATTGATGCCTTTGAGACCCCATGTTGTGGGGCACATGGGTGAGTGCGGCGCAGGTATGGCAGGCCAAGGTTTGGCGTGCTGGCGTGTGTGTGTGGTGGTGCTTCTGGCTCGTGATATTCTAGTCTTACTGTGTGCATTCAGGCGGAGACCCTGGAGAGTGTGTGAATGGTGCATGAGGGGCTACTTTCAGTTGCTGTGACGCTGGAAGCTGTCTATATGTATGGCTTTTGCTTCTTCTAGTTCTTATCCTTGTCTTTTTTTTCTGTTAGATTTGCTGTGTCATCTGGGGTGGTATTAGGATTTTTTAAATTTTTAGTAAGCTCCATGCCAAACATGAGGCTTGAACTAACGACCCTAAGATCAAGAGTTGCATGCTTTACTGACTGAGCTAGCCAGATGCCCCAGTAATTTTATTTTTGAAAAAAGTTTTTTTTTTTGTTGGGGTGCCTGGGAGGCTCAGTTGGTTGAGCGTCCAACTCTTGATTTCAGCTCAGGTCACCATCCCAGGGTCATGGGATTGAGCTGAGCCCCATGTCACACTCTGTCCTGGGTGTGGAGCCTGCTTCAGATTGTTTTTCTCCTCCTCTGCCTCTCTCCCTTGCATACATTCTGTCTCTAAAATAAAAAAAAAATTAAAATAACGCTTACAAAGAAAGGCTTTTTGTTGAAATAACCTGTTAATGTTTGTTAGTAAAGCTTGTAACTTTTTGCTTCTTCTCAGGAAAATAATTTTCAGCTTTTGTCTTGCTCATGATGCAAGCTCTTGCCCATGATGCAAACTCTGAGAAGCAGCACTGTATTTGTGGAAGAAAGTCCTTTTTTGTATTACAGTAAACAATCTGTATTTGTTTAAAAAAATTCTATTTAAAGTAAGCATAAAAACATTGAGTAAGAGCATGCTGTCCTCTGACTGAAATAAATTTGAGCGAATGGACCCCAGCATTTATTTCAGCTATTTAAAGTTTTTTTCCCACAGTCTCAAATTACTCTGATTAAAGTTGTTACATGAATGACTTCAGTGTTGATACTCATCTAACAACATAGGTGTTACTATCTCATTTAAAAAACATTCCTATGAATATGTTAGTGATAAAATATACATACATATGAGAAAACAAGGGAAGAAAATTGAATAAAAAAACTACAGTTACATGAACATATATAGTGGAGTTTATCGTGATGGGAGATATGGGGATATGATATACTAATGATTACAACCTTGTCTATTTTATATCAAGGTATTTGCATTTTGGGTGGGGTAAATCAGTCAAAAGTAGATGATCAAAGTATATTTCTAGATTATATATAATACAGGGAATGGCATTGAGTATATAATATTGAAAATGGCACTTTTAGGGGCGCCTGGGTGGCGCAGTCGGTTAAGCGTCCGACTTCAGCCAGGTCACGATCTCGCGGTCCGTGAGTTCGAGCCCCGCGTCAGGCTCTGGGCTGATGGCTCAGAGCCTGGAGCCTGTTTCTGATTCTGTGTCTCCCTCTCTCTCTGCCCCTCCCCCGTTCATGCTCTGTCTCTCTCTGTCCCAAAAATAAATAAAAAACGTTGAAAAAATATATATATAAATTTATAAAAAAAAAAAAAGAAAATGGCACTTTTATTTTTTTTAATTATTTTTTTTTAATGTTTATTTATGAGAGAGGGAGAGAGATAGAGCATGAATGAGGGAGGGACAGAGAGGGAGACACAAAATCCAAACTAGGCTACAGGCTCTGAACTGTCAGTGCAGAGCCCGTTGCAGGGCTTGAACTCATGGACCATTAGATCATGACCTGAGCTGAAGTCAGACGCTTAACCAATGGAGCCACCCAGGCGCCCTTAAAAAATGGCACTTTTATTAAGTGACCTGCTGTAATTATTAAACTGCAGTGCTTCCCCAGTGGAAGGGGGAGAAATTTTGTTTCAGGAGGTGGTGAGTTTCTACATTTCTAGTGTTGTAAAAGTTTTGATTTTTTTTTTTAAATTTTAGATAGAGTGCATGAGTGGGAAGGGGACAGAGAAGGGGAGAGAGAGAGAGAGAGAGAGAGAGAGAGAGAGAGAGAGAAAGAGAAAAAGACAGAGACAGAGACAGAGACAGACAGAGAAAATTCTTGCCCAGCTTGGAGTCTGACATGGGGCTTGATCCCATGACCCTGGGATCATGACCTGAGCCAAAATCAGGAGTTGGATGCCTGACTGGGCCATCCAGGCACTCCTTTTACTATATTTTTTAAAGTAATCTCCATGCCTGATATGGGGCTCAAACTCATAACTTCAAGATCAAGAGTCACACACTAGTGACTGAGCCAGCCAGGTGCCCCAAGTATATTTTCTTTCTTTCTTTCTTTCTTTCTTTCTTTCTTTCTTTCTTTCTTT